TACCTCAGGCTCTGCTCCATGCTGGCAGGCTTCATGCATGCTGCATCCTAGGGCACTGGTCAAACATGGCCCCATAACAGCCATGCATGATATACAGCACTGCTGTGGGGCTGCACAGGAGCTATGTCCAGTGTCCCAGGCTGCAGTATGGACAGAGCCTGCCAGCGTAGAGCAAAGATAAGGTGGGGAAGGAGACAGGTAGACAGAGGAGTGGAGGCTGAGTGGATGGAGTGATGGGGAAAAGAAGCAGCAGGGAGAGATGGGGAGGTGCAGAAGCAGCAGGGGATGAGATGAGTGGCAGCTGTGATCATGGTCCCAGTCCCAACACTAAGTAGGGGCTGAAGTCCAAGCCATAGCAGCCGCTTCTCCCCCCAATCCTTGTACTTGATTCTGCAATGAAGGGCTTCCTCCCCCTGCATGTTAAATGAAGAAAAAAACCCTGTCTTAGAACCAAGTAAATATGGTACATAGTTTTAAAAAACGCTTAGCCCTAAACATCCTTCTTATGACCAGGAGTCTAATATTATAAAATAAAAAAGGTTCATCATAGCCACCACATTAATATGGAAAGATTCTCCTCAAACTACACATCAGATAAAGGTCTATGCCGTTCCCTTGAGGCCTGATCCAGTGGCTCGTGATATTAATGTAGAAGCTGCATCAACTTTGGTTTTGAAGTTTGTTATATGATTAATATTTACCTTTTCTTCCTTCTTCCATGGTTACAGTGTTGGCCACAAACTGGCAAAGGAGGGGCATATCACAAACACTAGCAGCTCCAACAAAAGATCGGAGAGCCTGAATAAATGGATCTATTTAATTCCGCTTTAGTTCCCCACTCTCTCCCCTCTACACAGAATAGAAGTCTTGTTTAAAATAAGATTATGCCACCATGGTCATTAAGTCTCACTCTTGTAGTACTTTGTTAAGTCATATGGGGAGATCTTTGCTACTTCAAAGGCTTGCAGTGCTTTAAGCTTCAGAAGAGAGTGCAGTTCTCTAGGCAGCAACTTTGTGGCTCAGTTTCCACTCCAAACTTATAAGGATAAAACCAGTTTATTTGAAAACATTGCCAGCTGGTCTGTTCACCAGAATTAAGCTGTTAGTAATTAGCTGGCAGCAGTTCTATTTTCAGAAGTTGAGAAGGTGGAAATTGCCCTAAATGTTATATTTTTCTTAACCAAATATAAAATAACAGATTGCAGTTATGTAACATATTTGTTCTGAATTTGATGCTACAATTAGTGGCCCAGTCCTACAAACTAGAAAATACCTTCAGCTCCACAAGAACTTTTGTGAGATACACCTGATTGAGTTTGTATATCTGAAGTTCACTAAACTTCAGTGGCACTTAAGTGCCCGCTGAAATGCATTATTGAACAGGGTTGGACTTAAGCACACGTTTAAAATGAATCATGAGATTCAGTACTTTACTGAACTATTAGTAGTTCCATTGAAGTCAGCGGGAGAAGTCACGTGGTAAAGTGTTTTGCTGAAATACAGCCTAAGAAAGTCTATATTGCAACTAGTTGGCTTGTGAGACAACACTTAGAAAAACCAAAACACAAGTCCAAGTCACAGATAACTTTTCCCATGCTCATGCTAACCATTCCAGCAAAATCTTTCTGCATTTCGCACACGTAAAATAACACATCCCACCCTAAATGTATCTAAAGAAATCTATTTTCTCTACAAAAATCAGCCATACCCTGACTTTGCTGATGGGATGTCTGAAACACTTGTTGTCACCCGTCTCACTCAGAGTAATGGCGTAGAACTGTCCTTTGTTTAAGTAGGTCATGGGTCCCTCTCCCTGCTTTTGACGCAATGACTTGGTAGCTTCTAGAGTATACTGAAAAGTGCTGCTGCAAAGAGAGAGAGAGAGAGAGAGAGAGAGAGAGAGAGAGAGAGAGAGAGTCACAAACAAAATATAAATGACATTTTCCTTTTTTGCTTAAGTACATATTTCATACAAGTACAGAAAGTGTGGGTAAATAACTTATACAAAACAAATGGCAATGATCTGAGGAAACAGTAAATAATGAATTTTAAAAAGTTAATTGACTCAACTCAATTAATTTTTCTTCCTTTAAATCTATGGCATTGATCTTATATTACAATAAGTCTAACTAGATTGTAAGCCTCTTGGAATAGGGACTGTGGGCCAGATGCAAATTGTCTCTGTAGGTGTTTTGACTTCAATGTTATCCTGCCTAACTTTTGAGTCGGATGCCTTCCCAAAAAACCCAGATAGCCACCTAGAATTTTAATACAGCCAAGGGGGAAATAGAGATACCTACAAATAATTCAGGTTTAGACTTTCAGGTATTGTATACAAAGACTGGGGAGTGTTAAGCATCCCCAAAGGTCAATTCAGAAGTAGCCAATAGCAACTACTAAGTCATGGGGCATCAGATTAAGCAGAAGAAAGCCTCTCCTTGCAGGCTAGTGGCTGAAGTACTCCACTGGGAAGGGCTAGTGCTAGGTACTGGACCATACTCCAAGCACTGTTAATGCTTTTTACATTACACAGTTATTGTACAAAAACCAGAAGTAAGCCTGGCAGCAGAAGCTAGAACTCAGGATTCTCCTCTCCCAGAAGTGTCCTAAGCCCTGGCCCACAGTCAGCTCTGTCTTTTTGACCCTATGGCTAGGGACAGACATTCAAAAAGCCCGAATCGATTCAATCTTTGCAAGTTAGTCTAACCGGCTAGGCTGAACCGGTTTGTAACTGCACAGAATCCCCACTGGACTGAAGAAATTCAGGAACATGCCTGCAAAAGCTCAGGCTAGAAGCCAGGTGGGGCACTAGAGCAGGCCTCCCTTCCCGCCTGCAGTGCTGACCTGAGGGAGGCATGGCCAGACCCCAGCAGGATACTCTGGTTAGGGAGGGGTCCATCCCCCCCGCTGCTTCTGACCAGCAATGGAGCCAGCGGGGAGTTGCACAGTATTTACTTACACAGGGAGTAAAAGTGTTTATCAGCCCATCAAGAAAGCAAAAGCCTCTCATTAGTTTAAGCTCTTCTTTTAGCTCCAAAAAACTGTAAGCAGATACTGTCCTGTCCGCCTTTGACCTGTCTGCCTTACACAGACACCTCTCAGCATTAGTAGCATACAACATGATAGCTACAGTCCTTGTTGTGGGAGAGGGGAGAGGGGGAATCCCTGCTTGAGTGGGGACTCCGGGGCAGGGAGGGGAAAGGCAGGAGTAAGCCAGGCAGACACTGCTGTGTCTGCAGTCTCTGCCAGAGCTCCAGCCAGGGAGCAGAAGGGAGGGCCAGCTCTGCTGTGGAACAGAGAGCCCAAGCCCAGGACTGCAAAGCACCTGGGATGCTGGGGTACTCTGGTTTAAGTTAATCCAGGAAGGGGTCTGGAACAGACGTCGCATAAACTGGTTTGACCCAAATCAGTTAAGTCTGATACTATATTTAACCAGGTTTATCTCAAACCAGTTTCAGCCATTTTCGAATTGGTTTATGTTCACTGAACGTCTGTTCTGTTACAGGTTTAAACCAGTCTCTGATCACTTAAACTGGTTTGTGTAATGTCTGTCCCTAGCCAATGACTCGTGCATTTTTCAATGGCCCAGATCCAACAAGAGTAGTGGAGTCCAGTCAATTAGCCTATTCTATCTCCTGCTGTTAACCCATTTACATGGGAAGTGGAAAATGTAGATTTCAGCCCCCACCAGGTGAGGAAAGCCTAGAACCTAGGTCTCCTACTTCTTGGGTACAGGACTTAAAACTAGGTTGACAGGGAGGAGGACGAGGATGACACTAACATCAGTTTTAAGCTGAATTTAGTGATATTGATATGAACTGGTTGCATTTTTATTGCTTACCACCATGGTCCTTCCCAGGGTCTTAAGCAAAGCTTGGTTGCCTTCCAGGGCTAATTTGAACTGCACTAGAGCCTAGGAAGGAGTTATCATCATAAAAAATAAGTGCTCTGGGTTATTTCTGCACAGACACGCAGAAGCAGATCCAGAGGAGGTGCATTGTCATGACTGCACCCCGTCCCTATGGACCATACTGTGGGAGCAGCAGCCAGGAATATTTTAAGTCCTGGAATCAGATAAGAATCCTCACCCCCATCCTTCTCCACCATGCTCAGTGGAGCAGCAGTGGTGGTGCCCAGGGTCCCACTCCTTGCCTGGTCCCCCTGGGTGCTTCCTATCAGCCCAGGAGCAGATGCAGGGATCAGGAACCCACCTGTCACTACCTCTGTCCCAAGCCAAACCCAGCTCCACACACAGCCACTTCCCACAGCCCTGGCTGAAGTAGGGCAGAAGCAGCTAGGACAGTGGTGACAGTGGCAGGTAGGTCTCCCCTTCCTGCACCCAAAGGCATTGGTAGGTAGGGAGGGCAAGGATGAGAATGGAATGGGACAGGGAGGTACCACAAACAGAAGGGAAGGGACAGGATGTTGTGAGAGTGAGGGAGGAGAATTTTTACCTGATTCAGGAACTTTAAAAAAATCCCTGTCTGTTGCTCAAGCAGCTGCCTGTTGCTCAAGCAGCATGGTTAGGGGGTGCCACTCCGGCAGTGAAGGTTCCTGGTCCTGGACCCCTTATGGACAAATGCACTTAAGTGCAATCACTTACCAACTCTGTAGTCCCAAACTGAAGAATGTTCTGGATTTACGAACATAATGAGATTTTAGGGTGCTGGCACCAAGTCAAATTGAATCACTCTTTAGGTATCTATTCTCATCGAAGTCCCACTTAAACATCTACTGAGATAACTTAAATGTGGTTCCCCATTGTTAGCTTTTCTTAAAGAGCCACTAGAAAATGTGGGCTGATATACATGAAAAAGTGGTGATTTTTTTTTCTGTAAGAGCAGAAACTTGGTTACCTCTGTGGACATCTGAACCTGCAGTTGTCACAGAAAGACAAGTCCATATAAGAATAAAACAGAAGATGCTGCAAATAGGTATGCAGGCAGAACAGAATACCTACAGCACAGCATATGCAGAAGCCAATGGGAAAAGGGGAGAGTGGGCCTAATTATTTAACAGTACATTTGAATTGAGTTCTACAGCCATCTTTAGAAAATAACCAGACACTATACATTACCCAAGTTTAACTGAGTTGCATAGCTGATTAATAATAATAATGGATAAATAAACCCCTAGCTAACACATATTAGTGATGTTACCAAATCAAAATTGGAATTTCAGAAGGAGCTATTCCAAAAAAGTGGTTGTGCTTTGATAAGTGGTGTTCACTATGAAAAGTCTGAGAATCCTGTCCTTCTCTGAACTCAATCACCCCAGAAAAATATCCATCAAAATCCACCAATACTGTTACGGCAATCTAGTAAAATCATTCCAACAGCGCTAACATCTCTCTGAAAGAAAACAGTGATATTAACTTGCTGAATAAATGCTCCTTTCAAAATACATCTATAGCCACCACCACACCACTTAATACAAAAAGACACTTGCAGGATGACACTGCATGCTGAAGAAAATCGTATATTTACAAAGGCTTTCATTCAGCAAAGCATTAAAACACTACTGAATTGGAGCCAAAGGCAAAGCATGTGCTAATCTAAAAGGTTAGCATTTCAAGGACACTAGTCTCAGACAAACATGCCAAGAGGTTAGGTAAGATGGAAAAGGACATACAGCAAAACTTTTTTTTTTGTAACTTGTACCAACCACATTAAAAAAAGGAAAAAAAAATTAAAATGTTAGTACAACAAGATATCTTTTCAAATCCTACTTAAATAGGTGAAAAAAATTCTTCATTGGATCCTTCTTTCCTCCTCCAGCACAAGAACTTCCAAAATTTGTGTAAAGTCAACTTAATTTAGAAATAAATTTGAACTGTAAAATTAAGGTTTAATTAAGGTGTTCTGATTATGTTTGCCTTAAAAAAAAATATTAGCTAAATGTCTAACAAACAAAACTTTTATAAAAAAAAAAAATATCTTGCTTCATTGATATCCAATATATTATCTTTATATTATAAGGATACTTCACATTTATATTAAGAGCCCTTTAGTTTACACTACTTTGGTGTTACTGTGAAGTGTCATAACTGACCTGACAAACAGTCCATTTGCAACAGGTTGGTATCCTGTTTTGACTGTTTCCTATTCTGAATGTTTTGGACAACATTAAATTAAAAAAAAAAAAATCCCAGACAAACTGCACCTGGCCAATTGTGCAATACCTGGACTAAAACACAAGGGGAATGTCTTCCTGATACCATCTAGCAATCAGTTCATGCCCTGAAGCATGAGGACTGCTATCATTAAGCATTTTTACCCAAGTAAATGCAATTGCAATTATTAGTCATAAACTTTTCTAATCCTGTTTTGAATTTCACCATGGCTCTGATCTAAAGCCCTTTGAATTCAGTGAATACTTTGTCACTGACTTTGATGGGCCTTGCATCAGACCCTAAAATTGCTTTCATTTTTATTAGCTTTTTGAATCTGAGGCATTCATTTCTGCACACAGCATTATGGAACATGGCAGAAGTCTGTGCAATTCACAGTAGAGCAGCATGTCCTTTCTAAACAGGATATCACCAGAAGCTGTCCTTCTTTGTTCTTACGATAAAGGTTTTCACCTCCAGAGAATGCAAACACTCTTCAGTTCATAAATAGCTAATGCAGGATAAGTCAATCTTTTCTGCAGATCTACTTCAAAAATACCCTCTGTCTAATGACTGAGTCCCAATCCCAGGGAAATGAATGGGTGTTCTGAATTTGCCTTCAAGAGAAGGACTGGGCCCTTAAAAAAAAGCCAGACCATGGAAATAAAGTATAAGGGGCCGGATCCAGGACAACACTTATGCTTCTGCCTAATTTTAAGCATCTGAGTATTATATCAAACTGAACTGCTCCCATGCTTAGCTAAGCATGTGCTTGGGTATACTGTTGGATCATTGCCTTTATGAGTCAATGACTAAACTAGCTCTGGTCCATTACAGGTACTGTTTTGTAGGCCTGTGCGAAGCAGCTAGTATGTGCTTCTGATTCGGCCAATTCAGGGGACAGTGACTTTATTCAATGATTTGAATCACTGTCCCAAATCGATTTGATTGCTACCAAATCTCCAAATCACCCAGGCCCATCCCCCACCCACTCTCCCAGCCCTGGCAACAACTGCCCCACCGGCCCCAGCTCCCGGCACTTTGAAACAAAAAGCCACAAATCACCGTGTGCTGCCAGGCAGGGGGGGCAATCCCCAGTGCCCCCGACTTTATTCAATGATTTGAATCACTGTCCCAAATCGATTTGATTGCTACCAAATCTCCAAATCACCCAGGCCCATCCCCCACCCACTCTCCCAGCCCTGGCAACAACTGCCCCACCGGCCCCAGCTCCCGGCACTTTGAAACAAAAAGCCACAAATCACCGTGTGCTGCCAGGCAGGGGGGGCAATCCCCAGTGCCCCCTGCTGCATGGAGGGCTCTGCACAAGCCCCCCAACCCACCCTCCCACTGTCCCAGCCCTTCCCATGGCTGCCCCCCAGCTCCAGCCCTTTAAAAAAAAAAAAAAAAAAAAAAACCCAAGAAAACCCCTAGTCTCACCACTCCTGCCTGGTGGGGGGCAATACCTGCTGCCCCCCACCACATTGCGGGCTCTTCCATGAGCCCCACGAAGCCCCAAGGCTACTGCAGGAGCGGTGAGTCCCAGGGTTTTTTTCTTAAAAGGGCTGGAGCTCAGACAGGCAGGGTAACCATGGCGGGGCTGGGGGAGCAAGGAGGGGGCGGGGGTCATGGGGGCTCATAGCTGGTTTGTGATAGACATCCTATAAATGGAACACAAAGGGCACTTTTACACGTGCTCCAGAAGTGGAGGGGCAGTACTTTAATTAGAGCAGCTCCAAGAGCTCCAGCAGATTTGATTAATCAAGTCTGCTCCAACATACTGAAATTCCAGTGCAGCCTCTGCACTCATGTATAAGGGCCCAAAATGAACAAACAAGCACCACAGCATCCAAGACAAAGCTCTCTAAGAAAACCATAGTAATAGAAAAATAAAACCAAATACAAATACATGCTTCCTCATCATCTTATGATTTTAAAAGATATGACTTGGTTAAACACACATTGTTAAATTAAACTTGGGGGACTAGACTAAGCAGTCTTAGATATCTGAACCAAGTCCTTCCATCCTGGAAGGCAGCAAAGATTCTCCATGAACTTGTTGGTAATCTACACACTATGTTTGACCTGCCAAGGAGCTGATTCTCTTCTCATACTATTTTACATTTGTGTTACTCCACTAACACCAGTGAACTTACCATCAATTTACATGGAGGCAAAGTGGAAGGGAATCAGACCCCAAAATTCAATGAAAATCTGATTTTAAAAGCCAACAGGCACATGATGAAAAGAAAATGGATAGTTACTGGGGAAGCACAGTACACACTTAATGGTAGTAAAGTCTGGTTTTCAATGTTATATTTTAGTAAGAGGCCAATCAGCAACGAACGTTTCCCGTAACCTACCTTGCTGTTTGTTCATAAATATATTCTTCAGCCCCCACTGATGCACTACGATACTTCTGAAAGTTATAGAAATAAATAAAAGATAAGAATTATTTGATAAAAAAATAAGCAAAAGTTACTGACAAGATTAAAACTTTTATAGATGGGGAACTCCTATAGGAAACTCAGGTATTTAAAATTCATGATCCCTGTTAGACAGAGGAGTTCCCTAGTTTTCACAGCTGACAGAAATTATTCACACTGAGCATTTGGATTCTGTCACAGTCTGGCTATTTCATCACAGAAGCATATCAGTAAGGTAGCAGATGTTTTTTCTGTTCTGTTAACATATTTTTAAAAAGAAACCTGTGAAAACAGGCATTGCTCTCAACTGCGTGTCCTAAATCACAAATACAATTAAAAGTTCTACAGAGTTTTGTGTTTAAAAATGTTTGCATGCATCTAAATTTTAATTCTCCTCTACAAGCAACACTCTAATGTTCATAAAAAAAATCATATAACTGAACCATCTGATTTGGAGGGACATAGGCTAAGGAAGCATTCTGCCTGTAATACAAGATTATGTTAGGATAATAACATAATCGCTTTACAAAATGAATCAGATGCAAAAATAAGAAAAGTTACTCTTTCAAGAGACTAAATTATGAGACTGAGGATTAAGCAAAGATCCATGCACCGCATTACTGAACAGAACAATTCATGTTGTACCATGAGATACGAGACCCTTGCTGTTTCTTCTTCGATTTTCTAAAGTCTTTCTGATTCACTGAGGGCTCATTAAATCTCTTGAATTTTTATTTTTAACTCTGTTTTATGACACAGCCTCCTTTGTCTTGAGAATCATCAAGTTATACAAGTTTTAGAACTGGTTTAAACTTTATGTTTAAATACAAGTGTGCAGAAAAAGAAAGCGTTGGTTACTAGTAAAGTTCAAAAGTTTTGTGAGCTGGTGTTAAACATTCAATGCATTTTGCAGTCATTGGATAAAATGCAGGAACAGTCTGGAGTTCCAGTCTTTTCTCCCAAGGAAGTGTTCTTATCACTGGGCTATCAAGTCATGATGCCCCTTATTTGTTCTCTGTTCAGCTCCATGAATCTTGCATTCTTGATTGCACAGTGGCCCAGCTTTACCAGGAAAGGTGGAAAATGGCCTTAACTCAGTCTTCCCTACAGCTTTGGGTTTGGGCAATGTCCTGGGATGTGGGAGATGTAGGTTTTAAAGTCCTCAGGCGGAGAAGAAACTATAATCCAGGAGTTCCACATCCTAGGCTATTAAATAAAGCTGGGTGGTGAGTAAGCCAGTCATCTGTACCCAAAGAACTTAACTTAAGAGCAGGAAACCCAGTCTTATACTGGCACCATTAGCTTCAAGTAGGTGCCTACATCTGGGAGAAAGAGGATTTCAGACATATCCTTCTCTCCAGCATTTCCTATCGACTGGCTTGGATGCTGTCTAGCTCAGTCTGCCACCTATTGCACAGTCCTCGGCACCTCTTCCCTTCACTGTTTAGTGAACTTCAGTTTGTTTTTTTAAGCCTATTCCCAGAGCTAAGTAACCTTTCGCTCCTGTGTACCCAGCCCTTTAGTGTGGGCTACAATTCTCTGATGCCTCCCCAAAGAGCTCAAGCTATCTGCATTTACTCTCACTGCAGACACCTGGCCCTTCTGCAGCGAGATAAACACAGCAGAAGGGCTATAGAGGAAGGGCTTACAAAGGTGACCTGCTCCAGGGCTGTCTTATCAAGTGTGTAGAGAGTCAGCTTGAAGGGCTGCAGACAGGTGACTTGGTACAGCTGTGTGCCATCTGATCCTTCAGGCTACCTCAGGCTGGACTGGACCTCTTGGGCTATGGACAAATATTACACCTAAACCGGTTTAAGTGATCAGAAACTGGTTTAAACCTGTAACAGAACATAAGTTCAGTGTACATAAACCAGTTTCAAAATGACCGAAATAAGTTTGAAATAAACCTAGTTGAATGTAGTATCAGACTTAACTGATTAAGCTCAAACCGGTTTATGCAATGTCTATCCCAGACCCCTTTGTAGTTTAACTTAAACCAGAATCCCCCAGCACCCAGGCATGCCTTCTGGGTGAGGCTCTCTGCTTCACCGGAGCAGGGCTGGCACCACTCCTCTGCTCCTCAGCCAGAGCAGAGAGAGGCAGGAGCAGGGGTCTGGCCAGACACTGGGCCTGGGAAGGGGGCAAGGAAGAGGTTTATTCCCCCACCCCACAAGTGGGAACCCTCATGTCTCTGCCGGGTGCTGAAGTGACTGCCCCAGCAGTAGCTCCAAGTAAACTGGCCGGGAGGGGGGAGGTTTAATTCCCGCCTCCCTGTCCCACCTGCATAGACCTGGACCAGGGTCTGCCAGGTGCTTCCCCTTTGCTGCTGCACCAGCAGGGCTGGGGCAGGGCTGGCCCCTGAGTCGGGGGGGGCGGTTATTCCCCCTCCATCCCCGAACGACCACAGTGCAGTCTCCCACCCCAACCACCGCTGCTGCCACTCATTCTATGCATAGGATAAGAGATTGGGTAAGGCCTCTTCTGCCCCCTCTGCTAGACACCAGTGGGAGGGGGGGGCAATAACCCCCTCCCTGTTCCCTCACCAAAGGGACACTGCTGTCCGGGCTCTGGCTATGCCCTGGCTCTGATCGTGGAATGGCAAGGGGGCAGGCCCTGACAGGGCTGCAACCCCTGCCCTGATGTCTGGGCAGTGAGAGCCTCTCCCCAGTGCGGGGAGCCATGAGCAGGGGTCAGAGCTGACATGAAGTACATGGGCTGGGCGGTAGCACTGGGGCTTGAAGGGGGCCATCGCCCCTCAAGCCTCCCTAGCACCACCATCGCCACTAGTCTGCAGCAGCTTTCTCCACCCCCCACCCACAGTACCCCCCGCCCCACCACCGGGAAGGAGCTTGCACTCTTGGACACTGTGACATGGCCTGTTGCCCCTGTCACAGTCGCTCCACCCTCACTGTTCCAGCAGCCAGGCTGGGGTGGGGCCAGACACCAGCCAGGGAGCAAGGAGAGGGGTTATTCCCCCCTCTGCCTCCAGAGCACTGCAGTGGGGTTTGCCTGCCCCAGCCGCTGTTTCCCTCCCTCCAGTCTCAGGGAGGGGAGGCAGAGATAACCCCCGTCCCTGCCCCCTGCTTAAAGGGCCCTGCCGGCCAGGTTCTGGCCATGCCCCCACCCCTGGAGCGGTGAAGGTGGAGCAAACATGATGGGGGCAGCAGCTCCCGTCACGGTTTCTGGGCAGTTTCTTGTTCCTGAAGCCTGCAACAGAAACCTGCTGGCTCAGTGCATCCAACCCCCAAATCCTGTCATTACACTCTATCACACTGGATCAGCACCGGAATTAGAGACTCTTTTTTAAATTATCAGAGCTGCAAGAATTAACCATGGGACCATATATTATCATCATATTTCAGAGCTAACAACTTTTGGAGACAAAGGCGAACAGCAAATCTTTTTCTCAGGCTTGTTTGTTTCAAGCTGAGCCTCTACAAACTTGATAAGATGGCCCTGCAGCGAGTCACCTCTGGAGCAGGGTGGATAAAAATCAAATTTTTTTTTTTTTAAAAGAAATTAAAAAATTGGATTTTTTAATTTGAATCAGATTTTTTTTATTTAATTGTATTTTTAGATGCTTTTAAAAAAATAAACCTATGTATATGTAAAAATAGATGTTAATGCTCAAAGGATATCACGATGGAAAAGGGATTATAACTTCTAATTATATACTATTTAAGACAATATATTCTTGTAACCTTTTTAGAAAAGTTTCATGAATAGGTCACAACAGGCCACAGACTATATTAGGGGTCCAATATTATGGGGTTCCCAGTGGCTCCTCTATAGATTAGTAAAGATTAAAGAAAGCCACTCTGCCCAATGGGACTCAGTGCTCAGTCAGAAGATCCCATTAAGCATCTCTGTGATGCTTAGTTTCAGTTCTCAGACTGGTTTTGTGTCTCCAGAGATAATAACATCCTTGTTAACAGCAGTATATGGAGATGAGAGATAACAGACCCGATTACCTACCCATCAGCCCTCTCGTCTCTCTGCAAGTTTACGTACACGGAGTCAAGCCCTCACCTCTCTCTAAAAGTGTAAAAGTTTCAAAAAGTGAAATGAATAAAGAATTGCTGGTGATGGAATAGGTCTGGGCAAGGAAGATGAATCTGGAGATAAATGCAAGGAGGGAGGGGAAATAGAAACAAAAGCAAAATATTTTGTGCAGAATATTCCGGAAGTCTGGAGGGATATGTTTCTGAGTATAGCCTCTCCATTGATTTGAGATCTAGTAAGGGAATGGTAAGGTAGAAAGGAAAACTAATCATGGCAGCAGCCTTGTCAGGCCATAAGAGAGAAGAACTCAAAAGATGAGAAGAAATCTAGAAGAAAGTAAAGAAAGCCCCAGGCTAATAAAATATGGCTGCAGTGCTCATTTGATGTCCTTCTAATACAGTGTGGCAAAAATATCCCCCAAATATCCATGATTAATCTAGTGAATTGGAGATAGTTCACCTCCCAATAACTTCACAAGTATCTGCTTCAATTAGCTTTGGTAAATAAAATAAACAAATCATAATTCAGTTTTCTAATGTAGCTGCAAAATTATTCTGAAAAAGTATCAAAATAAATCGCTGCTTTAAAATGTATAGTGTGTACCTTCTAAAAATGAAACCTTACATCTGTCTCTGAGTTGTGAATAATGTGTCTTAAGGTTATATCAAACAACAAGAATGCACTTTTTGTAGAAAACAATAATTAAATAAGGGCCTCCTAACCAGTGATTAAAACTGTGATTTAAATTGATTTGGTTTAAATCAAATCCACCCTGCTTTGGAAGCTATCTTCACAAAAGCTAGACCAGTAATGCTCAAACCTCTAGCCCTGTGGACTGAATGAATGACAAGGGGCCATTCTGCAGGCTGGACCCCATGTAAAGAACCAGCTCACACATATGATCTGGCATGCTGGCACAATCCCATGTGCTAGATCTGGCCATGTGCCATCCCAGCCCTACTTGCTGGATCCAGCCACAAAGTGATCCCAC